AACTGCTTCGCACCCGCCAGACCGCGATTCACTAGAAACGGTTTTAAAGAAATTTTGGCAAGTCGATGAAGCGCCTATTTCCTCTTTGTCGAGTAAGTCGCTCGATGATCTCGAGTGTGAGAATTTTTATGAAGCGACTACCGTTCGTGACGAAAGTTCCGGTAGATACACCGTGGGCTTGCCGTTTCGCACTGACGTGTTTTCGTTAGGAAACTCGAACGACGTCGCGAAAAGACGCTTTTTTTGTCTGGAAAGGAAATTAGAATCTTCATCGGAGTTACGTATAGCTTATGATAATGTTATTCGCGAATATATTGACAAAGGTTATTTGTCACCCGCACCACTCGATAGTTCGAGAGACTGCCGCCCGGACTATGTTATACCGCATCACGCAGTCATACGTTTGGATAAAACTACGACTAAATTACGCTCAGTTTTAGACGCTAGCTCTAAAACTAGTTCTGGTTTCTCGCTTAACGATATTTTACACAGTGGTCCTAATTTACAGGGCAATTTGTTTACAATAATTTTAAATTTTCGCTTATTTGCTGTCGCACTTTCGGCCGATTGTCGGCAAATGTTCCTACAAATCGAAGTAAGAAAGAGTGATCGTCGTTTTCAGCGCATCCTTTATCGTTTTAATACGGATGAACCTTTGGTATTATACCAATTCAACCGCGTATGCTTCGGTCTTAAGTCCAGCCCATATCACGCGCTTCGCACTATACAGCAACTGGCTGAGGATGACGGTGATAAGTATCCGCTCGCTCGCGCTATAGTTTCCAACTCGTTGTATATGGACGATGTTGCTACATCGGTAAATAGTGAATCGGATGCTATTCAAGCTGCACACGAACTGATACAGTTTTTTAAGGGTGGTCAATTCGACTTGGTCAAGTGGAGCAGCAATTCCCAAATAGTTTTAAGTTGTATCCCCGCTTCTCATAGACTGTCCGAGTCTATTGAGTTCGATAAGTCATCAAAACAGAAGGTTCTGGGCTTGTGCTGGTCTAAATCAGATGACAATTTTGAATTTCGAGTCACCGCGCCGTCTGATTTATGTACAAAACGCGTTATACTCTCAACCGTAGCTCGTCTTTGGGATATTATGGGTTTTGTCTCACCCGTAATTCTTTACGCAAAATTACTTATAAAAGAGTTGTGGCTCTTGAAACTCGATTGGGACGATGTTCCCCCTCGTCACATCATAACTAACTGGCAAATATTTTGCACTACGCTTCCGCTTTTAAATAGATTTAAAATTCCGCGTCATTTAGGTATTGTCAATGGCTGCGTTTTCCGCTTAGTCGGTTTTTCTGACGCTAGTGAACGCGCCTACGGGGCCGTCGTTTACGCTCATATCACTCGCGAGGACGAGGTGATTGTGCAACTAACCTGCGCAAAGTCTAAGGTATCGCCTGTAAAGCCGTTGTCTATCGCTAAGCTTGAGCTTTGCGCAGCAGAGCTTTTGTCAAAGCTTCTTCGTCGCGTGCATTAACACTTATAATCCGCGCTATAATATTTCAGCCATTTATGCATTCACCGATTCAAAGGTGACCCTTTGTTGGATTAATTCCTCACCGCATCGCTGGCAAACGTTTGTTGCCAATCGTGTAGTTCGTATTGTGGACAACCTCCCCGCAGAGCACTTCTACCACGTAGCAGGTACAGAAAATCCCGCTGATTGTTTGTCGCGAGGTTTGATGCCCGATAAATTTATTGAGCATCCGTTATGGTTGTGTGGACCAACTTGGCTTAAGAGCTCCCCTTCAGAGTGGCCTATAAACAAGGTTACTGATGTAGACACGGAAGTAATACCGGAGGAGAAGGCTCATGTTCATACAACAGTTTCAAGTCCTGAATTTAACTCGCCATTGCTCGCACTCGCTGAACGTATATCAAGTTGGTCGAAATTATTACGCATTATTGTATTTGTATATCGCTTTCTTCGTAAAATACCGCGTAGATCTAATTTCGTAGCCGCAAGTGATTTTGAATTCGCAGAAAACGCTTTATTGTATCATGTTCAATTAAAACATTTTTCGAAAGATTATAATAATTTAAATAATAATAAATGTTGTTCGCCCGCTCTCGTTAAACTCAAACCGTTTATAGAAAGTAATTTAATTCGCGTCGGAGGTCGACTATCCCATTCGGCCGAGACTTATGATACTAAACATCCCGTCGTCTTACCACGTCGCGATCGCACTGTGGAGCTTCTCGTTGAATATTACCATAGTAAATATTTCCACGCTGGTCCGGAGCTCACTATGTCACTGTTGCGTAACAAATATTGGATATTGTCCGCGAGAGGAACTATTCGTTTTATAATCCACAAGTGTAATATTTGTCATAAGTGGAAACCGCGTCCGCAGGTCTCGCCGATTATGAGCGATCTTCCGGAACATAGGGTAAATGTCCCTATTAAGGCCTTTTCGCATACCGGTTGTGACTACGCTGGTCCCATAAATTATGTTCCTATACGCACTCGAGGTGCAAAGAGTCGTAAGGCTTATTTATGTATATTTACATGTATGAGCACTCGCGCCATACATGTTGAGCTCGCTACGGATCTTACTACTGCTTGTTTTTTGGCAGCCTTAAAACGATTTTTGTCGCGCCGCGGACCGGTACAGTGTTTATACTCCGATAACGGAACGAATTTCCGAGGAGCTAACTCTTATCTTCGCGACCTATATAATTTCATTAATAGGGAGTACCGTCCACGTTTTGAGGAAAAGCTCGTCGAAAATCGTATCGACTGGCAGTTTATTCCGCCCGCTTCTCCGCACTTCGGAGGTTGTTGGGAATCGATGGTAAAATTAGTTAAAACGCATCTTTTTAAGACAATAGGCCAACAACTTCTTTCGTATGAGGAGTTAATAACGATTCTTACGCAAATAGAATGTCTTTTAAACTCCAGACCGCTAACCGTTCTTAGTGCTGATCCATCAGAGCCCAGCGCTCTAACACCGTCCCATTTTTTGCATTCAGTACCACTTTATTCGTTGCCCGCCGCGGAGATAGGTTCAAACGCAGACCTACTCGAAAGGTACTCGCTTATGGACAAAATGGTCCAGTCCTTTTGGAAGAGATGGCGAAGCGAGTATCTTCATAGCTTACAAACGCGCCAGAAATGGAATAAGCCTGTAGGTAACATGATTCGCGAAGGTACGGTGGTAGTAATAATTAATGATAATGCACCGCCTCTATCATGGCCTTTAGGTGTCATAGAAAAGCTGCATCCGTCTAAAGATGGCAGCGTCCGCGTCGTTTCTGTCCGCACTTCTAAGGGCATACTTGTGCGACCTGTGGTCCGCTTGTGTCCTATCCCTACACAATAATTTAGTCTTTTTCCATTTCTCCTACTTAGTTATTTCCGCTTTATACATTTTCTTTAAAGGTACCCTTTAAGGCCGGGGGAAAATGGTAACGCCAAAACATATTCTAGTCTCTAAATTTCATACCGTGTCATTCTCTTTTCGAATTAACCGCATCCCAATAGATCCTTCTCCTTCAAACACTGTGCCTTATGCTTATGAGGGAAGAAGACGCAATATATTTGCCTGCAACGACGGATGGCCGGAAGGAAATGGCTCTGTCAGCAGGCTGTCACCGCATCAACAAAAGAAAAAAAGTTCTGTCACCGCGTAAGGACGAAATGGTCGTATTTTTCATCGCTCCGCAACAATTGTGATATAGATATTTTTCCGCATTAAACTCATATAAATAAGTGTGAAGATTAATAAACAATCTTTAAGTGAACAGTTTTATCGCAAATAGGAGGTTTGTGTGTGATTGGTGATAGCTATCAAAAAGGACTTTCTTGACCGCCATCTTTAACCGCTGGCATCAGGACAAGACTGCTGCAGGAGAAGCCGGCGTATGAGCCAGCGCCACCATCGAGGCCCTCAAGTAAGCACAGTGTTTTTCATCCTATCCCATTAACCAAACCCCCTTAATACTTCGAACCACACCTACAGTCCACTCTCCGGGGTTTCGACCCCACCAGATATCCTTTACCGCATTCGGCTTCACCAGTAACAGAAAGTCAAAAGACTTTGTAGAACAGTGAAAAGTAGAACAGTGTACAGTAGAACAGTAGAAAAGTGCAACAGAAAGTCTTTTGACTTTTACTTACATTTACAAAAGTGATTACAAAATCAACCTTCTATTCCAATTTCATATATAAGAAGGTCGGTTGCATTAGAAGCAAAGCTCAAATTTCAGAGATAATTGATCCATATAAGTATAATTTTCGGGTTATTAGAAGGCCCTAAATGCAATTACGTATTATCTTCGTAAGTGATTTTTTTAAAATAAATTAAAGGGTAATTGAGTCATGAATCAATGTTGTTCGATAGTACATACCTACACTCTTTGCAAATTCGACAAATAAAGAGTGATAAGTATTTACTTGAATAAGTAAAGTTTCTATTAATTTTTATTACGAGTTCCTTGAATTGACTTTGCTGGAGACTAGTTCGTCTGGCCCACCGAAAAATAGTATGGGAAGGCACTCAAGTGGATTTTTGTACCAGTTACACCAAACAATATTTTTGCAGCCGAATTGGAAGTCCACCACACGAGTAACAGCTTGTGGAAGTTTCCTCGAACAGGGAATGGAGCTGGCTCATACCTTTATTTAGTAAATTACTAAGGGAAAAACATCGTAGGCGACACCTCGTTCTCTTAATTTTTCAAACATCACTTATACTTGAAATATGCAGCTTATCTATTTAACCGGGTTCACACGAGGTGATTTAATTTGGTTGGTTGCATAATTGTATGCAATTTCAATTGTCGTACCAGATTTTCAAAATTCAAGAAAAGCAATTCTAAATCGTCTCGTTTGAACACGGTATTACGCAGCGTAACTCTTAGTCACTAAAAAGATGGCACTAGCAGTTTAAGCATTAGTCTTGAAGGACTCTGAAGGACAAAGAAAAGATGAAAGACTGGGCAAATAGTAGATACTTAAATTTAATTTTCCGTTCCAGGTAAAATGTGCTCATTGATTGGGTTCTTGGACGCGATTATCCCAACCATATACACACCCATGTATAGTAAGATTCTTACAGCTACTTTGCAATCTTTCCCTGGTGCAATATATATACTCGGATCAGTGATGACTGTTCCAGATTACTTCGTATTTGGGTAAGTTTTATCACCGTCATCCTCATCACTATTGTCTGCTATATGCCACTTATGCCTAATCTTACTGTCTTGAACATGCTGTTGCATATGCTGCAGCTAAGCCTATGTATATCATATCTTGTAAGAAGTTTCTTTCACTTTATTCTGTATAAGAGTGTCAAACAATTTACCAGTAGACTGTGTAAAATGTTTGACAAAAACGAAGCATCGGCGATGCGGGGAAAAACGTACTATTTGTAATATAACTTCGATTTGTAAGAAATCTCCATGTAGAGTTTTGAATTTTATCAATCCAGTGGTAAATCATGTTGCTTTCACATTAAAGCCTCTTTAGTCTTCAAACTACTTCAGGCTTAGGCCAATGACGAGAAGGTCACTATGTTAAAATGTTAAAAATACCACAAACTCTAGCAGTGTCTGTGATATAATAAGATTTTTGAAGACGACGCGGGATGAATTAAGACTATTAATAGACTTTATGTTTGACTTTAGTATAAATATGTCACGATCGCTTATCGGAAATAATAAACCCCTTATTGTAAATATATGATATCACTCATATTATAATGATCTCGCAACTAGACTATCTACACTCATACATATAACAGGTAGAGTGAAGGTACATATTTACAGTGCCTATCAAAAATAAGTAGTGATTGAGACCTAAAACACCTTTAAAGGACAATGGGCAAAACGCACCCAGCTCCGCCAACAATGTAATTAGTATGAATCGATAGATCTATGAAAAACTAGCCTTTTTTATTATGGCACCAAAAAAAATAACCTGGGGGTCAAAAGATATACACCTGGGTATGTTCTATATCAGGGGTTAAGGTTTCCGCACATAGTCCTTATAGACGACCTTTGTGTGTAAGTCATGGGGACCGGTTACACACGGGCATATTTAAATAGCTCCTTATAGAGAAGCTCGATGGCGCAGGTGGTTAGCGCGTTCGGTTGCGATCGTTGAAGTTAAGCAACTTTTGCAGTGGTCGGTCATTGGATGGGTGACCAAAACATCTATCTCGAGTTCCTCCGTGCTTCGGAAGGCACGTTAAGCCGTTGTTCCCGGCTGCATCTGCAGTCATTAGCACCCGCCAATCCGCACTGGGCCCGCGTGGTGGGTCATGGCCCAATCTCCCTATTTCATCCATAGGGAAGGCCTGTGCCCCAGCAGTGGGGACATTAATAGGCTGATGATATTTAAATAGCTAAAGAAATTCATTCAATATCAATAGTACTTTCGTTTTATAATATTAGCAATAATAAGTGAGTGAATCATATCTTACTGTACAACCAGATACAAAATACTAAACAACAAAGCCTACCGACTATCCTGCTTGCTTGCTGCTTGCACTTACTGAGACTCCTCAAAACGTCTAAAAGGGTATGGGGGTTGAAGGATGTGATATTGCAGTTGCCGTTGCAACTAGTCTACTCGTATGCAGTCCTATGTCTTACATCTTGTGCGCTCCCTGTTATTTCATTGATATTTAACTAACACGCTTTAGAAATAGGAACACGATTATCATCGCGTACGTCATTATAATCGTACGAGCTAATAAAAAATCTATGGATCAATTTAAATGTTCGTACTCAGCACACAAACATCTGCCCCCACCAGGATTCGAACCCGGGACCTCTCGAGCCAGCGACACCATGAAACCCGGCGTACAAACCACTCGACTCGGATATATTAATTGACGACCTCCGTGGTCGTCAATTAATATATCCGTTCTATATACTCGTCCTTGTATCTTTAAATATTATGTTCGTTATAGTTACTTTTACCTATGGAATTGTACCTATTTAACTTAAAATAACTAAAGACTCCCGGGATGGAATTTGATGCGCTTTGGCACAAATGATCATGACTATGATACCTTTCAAACAAATGTAGTTTAAGCCGTGGCGGACGTGGGTGCAGTGTCCATGCAATTTTGCCCATTGTCCTTTTGGTTTCAATTTCCCTAAATGCTTTTTTTTTGTTTCAGGATGTTATACTATCTTCTTAAGAAGCAGCAGCGGGATGTTGTGCAGAACCCAAACACGAAAGAGATGCATGCATATGAAAATGATGTGACGGCTTTATAGTCAATCAAAGACATTAATATCTCTTTGAAGTTAATTTACTTCTTGGGTACTGTTTTACAATGTACTGACTGATGATTGAGAATAGTTTCCAGATAATTATATATGTAATTAGTTGTATAAATTATAATCATTAAGTTTTACTAATCTCTTCTGTTAACAAACCTAAGTGTTATTATCATATTTGGTTTGATGAACCATGTTGATGAAGATAATTAGCTTTGACCAAAATCCGATGGAAGGTTCCGATGGTGAACGGAGGCCTAAGTCAGGTGTGTCTCACGGGGAGTGTTACGAGGTTTCGTTTTCACTTCATTTGTGTAGCAACGGCGGAGTTGATACAAACTATGCCGAACGATATCGCTACACTCAGTAATATAGTAAAATGCATGAAACCCAAGCGTGAATATTTGAGGTCTGTAAGGTATCGTCATCGTCAAAATATTGTGTGGAAAAAGCTAGTTTCTTATGTCCGATAGCTTAGTTTTCAAAGAAACTTTGACGATGCGAAACGTTATGTCGAAATTCTGGCCTCTGAGCGAATTAAGGTGTGCATCTGTTGTGTCATGTACTTTATTATATCTTAATAATATATACATATATTAATTTAAGATTTTTTGTATCTTATCAACAACAAAATTAAACTAACTGATTTAGTCGATAGTTTGATAGAGAAATTTAGACGTGGAGTTGTGTCTTGCCGATAGAAATTAAATGTTTTCCATATGTTTTCTGTGAATTGTAAGCTTTAACTCAAAATAAAGAAAATATCAACATACATGAATAGTTTATACAATGTTAGTTTGCCGTTGGACTAACCTACGAACTATTAATGAATAAATGTTTAACCTATTTATAAGTCTGCCTTCTTTTTACAAGCTTTTATTTAACTTGCAATGTATGTTTGTTCGGGTGGAATCTTACAACTCAATTTTAAGGCACTTGCCCTCAACCGATTGCATACCAAATTTCAGTGGTATGCACGTTCAGTTCGGATGACTATGCATGATTAACTGTATGACGTCATTCCAAATCCAACATGGCAGAACACCCAAAATGGCGGATAATTTTCTTTTATCCGTGCCTACAATGTGGGTATGAAATGAAATGAAAGGTCTTACTGAGAATAACTCTTGACGAGTATATTTTGTCTTTACATGGTATCTGTATGTATGTATATACATATGCGTGTATGTATGTATGTAGGTAGGGTATGTATGTATGTGTGTATGTATGAATGTATGTACGTATGTGCATGTTTGTGTATGGGTATAAGCATTTGATACGATATCATGTTGGTTTAGTTAGGGTTGTAGCATGAACTGGTTAATATTCTTTTGGCGGGATAGGCGTCAACAGCATTGGCCTTAAATAGGGTGAAATCATTAGAAAGGCTCCTCATTGAAGAGCTGGACTGTTCAAAATTAACTGGCAAACGACCTTGCAATAATGATGCGTTGAATGAGATGAACAGACTTAGGAACTTATCAGGTGAAAACTTAAAAGTATAGAATAAAACTAAGGTAAAAAAAACCTTTTTAAAAACAAGCTTTTATTTAAATGCGCTAAAAAGAAAAAAAAACTTTTACACTAAAACTTTTACTGTTATCTTATAACGTCATTTCAAACTTAACATATTTGACACAATTTATATGTTATAAAAGCTTATCGCGAGATTTAACTAATCGTATTTACTTTCTTAGTTTTAAAATGTATTGATTTTCTTTTTAGCGCATTTAAATGAAAACTTGTTTTTAAAAAGGTTTTTTTTACCATTATTTTATTTTATGATAATGGATGTGATATTATCACACATATATATACCTAGTCAGGTCATAAATTCTGTCACATGTTTAATATAAAATAATTGAAACAAGTTTATTCATTATGTAAGCATTTATATACCAAAATGAACTTAACAAAACATAGATTCTTATGACAATGAAGTTTATTCAAAATGACCTCCGTGATTTTGAATACAGGCCTTCAATCTGCGCGGCCAGTCGTCTATCGCAGCACGAACGAGGTCCGTGTCAATATCGGCGACTGCCTTAATCAAGGATGTCTTGAGTGACTCCAAATTGGGATGAGGCTAGGAAAGTTTTTAACTACTATAATTTTACTGCTCAGCTTGATTTATCATATCCTATATATGGACTGTGACTGCTATATTAAAATAATAAATATAACCTATATTAAATTACTTATATTTGATTATCTATGGATTACATATGCTGTGACGACTCGTTTCATTTTATTTTATATAAATGTGTGACACAGTGCAAACAATTCATGAATTAGACGCACTAGAGGTGGCTAGGTCTTTTGACTGCGATGTCTCTGAACTAACAAAACGAATTTGTATACAAAAATGCGATTTTACGATGCTTTCTCAAAATATACGAAGTATATATAAGAATCTTGATGATTTCTTGCTGACTATATCTCACCTATCACTAGATGTAGACGTAATTACTTTGAGTGAATGTAGAATTGATAAGAATAAGCCTATACCACAACTTCCAAATTATCAATCTTATTTTACTAACATACAATTGAATCAAAATGATGGAGTTGTAACTTATGTAAAAAACACATTAAAACACAAAGTGCGTGAAATAAAACTCGCTCAAGCTTCTTGTCTTCAACTAGAGATTTTAAATAATACTATTTTATGTATTTATAGATCGCCTTCTAGTGTTAATGCAAATGATTTTATAAGTAGTTTAGGTACTCATTTGGACTCTCTGAATTCTTGCAAAAGTATAGTAATAGCTGGTTATATTAATATAAATATTTCACTTAAACCCATAGAACCACCACACGAACAAAGGAATCGCATTGATTATCTAAACATGCTTTCATTTCACGGTTTGCTTGCAGGTCATACGATACCTACTAGAGGCAAGAATTGCTTAGACCATTTTATGTTAAGAATTAATAAAACTAAGATCCGAGCCCCTATTGCTGTGTTGCACACAAGCACCACAGATCATTTTACAACATTTATAACAATAGCAAAACTCAATGATCGCCAAACTACATGCAAGACTAGGACTAATGTCAATTTTGAAGCCGCTTTGAAGGGCCTTATGAATAAAAGTGTTACAGAATTATTATATTGTGATGATCCTGACTTAGCCATTAATAGTTTGATATTAAAATTAATGGAGACCGTTAAAGAGAACACTGTTATTACAAAAATACCAAGAAAATATCGTAATATAAAACCATGGATCACACCGGGGATCTTACGTTGTATTCGGAATAGAAATAAATTGCAAAAGAAAGTAAAAGATGATCCTTTTAATGAAACAAACAAAATTATTTATACAATATACAGAAATTATTGTAATGCTCTTCTTAAAAAACCAAACGCCAGTATGAGAGAGAATTATTGAATGAATCTATTAATGATAATAAGTTGCTGTGGAGAAACATCAGAAACATCACATATACAAGTAAAATTAATAAAATAAACTCTGATTTACTTAATATTAAATCTACTCCTGCAGCTTCTGCCAATTATATTAATGATTTCTTTGTAAATATTGGTAAAAACTTGGCTTATCAAATTCGACCCTTAGATGTGGAAAGTAGTAGCTATTTGAGCAACTTACCAAAACAGTGTAACTCCTTTGTTCTTATAGATACTGATCATGGTGAGGTAAGTGATATAATACAGTCCTTAAAATATAGCAGTGCCCCGGGATGGGACGGTATTCCAACCAGTTTTATCAAATACGCAAGATCATATATTGTTCCAATTAAAACTCATTTTGCTAATCTGTGTTTTAAAAGGGGACTTTCCCGTCGGTACTGAAACGGTCAATAATCAGTCCAGTTTATAAGGCTGGGGATAGAGACAGTGTTAAAAATTACAGACCAATTTCTGTGTTACCTGTAATTTCTAAAATTATAGAAAAACTGTTAAATACGAGGCTGCTTAGCTATCTAAATAAATTTGACATCTTATCACCATCTCAGTTTGGCTTCAGGCGAGGGAAATCAACTGAAGATGCAGTTTTGGCACTTACATCGTTAGTTACTGAGCAGCGCGATGCTCATAAAAAATGTACTTCAGTATTTTTGGATTTACAAAAAGCTTTTGACACTGTCTCTATACCTATTCTGGTGAGAAAGCTGGAAGCGATCGGACTGAAGGGAGTTTCTCTTGAATTGTTCAAAGATTACTTGTCGGATAGGCGGCAAAAGACAAAGTTAGATTCCTTCACTAGTGATGATGCAGCAGTGACATATGGAGTGCCTCAGGGTAGTGTCCTTGGACATAAGGAATAATGTAGGTACATTATTCCTTATTTATATCAATGATCTTCGTGCCATGAACATTAAGGATGCAGAAATTTTGTCGTACGCTGATGACACTGCAATTGTTTTTAGTGCAGACTCTTGGGATGCTGTAAGGGAAACAACCGAGAGCGGCTTGAAACAGATAAGCAAGTGGTTACGTTATAATTTTCTTACACTCAACACGGCTAAAACAAATTATATCTGTTTCAGTCTATATAATGACGGACAACCAAACAATGATTTTCGTTTAAAGATACATGGCTGTAATTTTATAATAGGTGGAGTTAATTGTAACTATCCGGTTCCTCAAAAGGTTGAGAATGTTAAATATTTGGGTGTCTATGTGGATCAGAGATTATCTTGGTATCAGCATTTAGAACATGTAACTTTAAGACTCAGAAAGCTTACTTGGATTTTCAAGACACTCAGGTATATAGTACCAGTACCAAAAAAGGATAAGGGTAATTGCGGTTCGGTAAGAGATCTCCTTAAAGAAATTTATGTTTCGTTGGCCCAATCTATATTGACATATTGCATACCTGTATGGGGTGGCGCAGCCAAAACGCGTTTTATTGATGTTGAGCGCGCTCAGCGAAGTCTCATTAAGGTCATGTATTTTAAAAAAAAAAGGCGATTTTATACTGAGTGCCTCTACAAAATTAGTAATTTATTATCTGTAAGGAAGCTGTACTTAGTTCATATTATTCTAAAAAAACATAAGTCTCTAACGTATGACCCTAAGATTTCAAAAAGGAGAAGGAAAGACATTATTATACGTACTCCTAGAACCAACACTTTATTTGCTAGCAGTCAGTTCAATAGTCGATCTATACACATATACAACACCATTAATAAATATATTTAAGTATATGATAAAATTTATTATCAATGCAGAGATCTACTGATAAAATGGTCAGCTAAAACATATGATGAAATCGAGATACTATTAAGCAGAACCTAGTATTCTTGCACACACTAAGACACATATACACGCACACACACTACACCAACATGCACACACACACACACACACACACACATGCATACAAAATACAAACACTCACTCCCACATTTACAGTTACGTAGGCATAAACACCAAACGTCTAAACTAATTAGATCTTAGTCATGGTTTGTTTAGATTTTATTGGATTGTTATAATTATCTATTTTAAGGAAGAGCTGTATATCCTGACACAGGCTATTTAAGCTTAAAAGGAGATGCAGGTCATTAGTTTAAGATCACATTATTGCTCAATTCAATAAAAAATTATTATTATTATTAACTACTAGCAAACCCGGCGAACTCCGTTTCGCCACCAGATGGCTTCTTTTTATGTAACTTTTCGTTTGGTGATTAAAAGAAGTTTTTTTTTCAATTTTTCCTGAATTTTCTTGCTATAAACCTCACGGAGCCCGAGACCTTTCCAACGAATGCAAAACCGTGGAAATCGGTTCGTGCGTTCTGGAGTTATAGCGTCAGGAAGGAAAACCCGACTTATTTTTATATAGTAGATTTGTGCTTTCAGGATTGTAAAATAGCTGCTAATATTCATATTAAATACAGATGCCAATAATTGGTACATTATTTTTCAATAAAGCTATATAAAAAATATTGAATAACACACATAATTAATAAGAATGAAATTTTACGTAGTAAATTATTGTAAATATAAAATCCTATTTACAATTTGCCACAAAAAAGGAAACAGTCGTAAGTAGGTAAGTACATAGTTAATCTTTTTCAGCATACCAAGAAAATGCACTTTATATGAGTAATGGAATAAATAAATATTTACAACAGTCACACCAATTAGCCTAGCCCCAAAGTAAGCACTGTAAGGCTTGTGTTATCGGATGCTAGGGTAACGGATAGAATACGTATACTGTACGTATATAAGTATATTTATACAGAAGTACATATTAAACATCCATGACTGGAGTATAAATGCTCGTATTCATCACCATACATCTGCATTCGAACCGGGACCTCTCGAGTTGGCGACACCATGAAAACCGGCATACAAACCACTCGGCCACGGAGGTCGTCAACTTTATTTAATAAGAGGAATATTTAATTAAGTAATGAGGATCGTTATTAAGTCAGCAAATCAAATCAGTCAACAGTATTATAATCTAATAAGCTATTTAATTCGTATATTTTAAATCATCGTAATCGCAACGTTGCGATTTTATAACTAATTTTTAGGTAGCCAATATTAACCTCGCACGAAACGTGTGACGTCACAAAGCTCGATTGTGGTTCACTGACTCCGGTTGGGTTGAAAATTAGTGGGGTCTCTAGGCACGCTCGCGCCCGAACGCTAGAACTCTGTGATGTCAAAGTCACCATGCGGCCAGCCGAAAATTCGTTTCGTAATTTGGTCATAACTTCGTCAATATTTGTCGTAGAACAAAAATTTTACCACTCTATAAATCTGCATTCACAACTAAAATCGTTACGGATCCTCATTGTTTATAATACAAGTCAACATAAAAAACTTTTTAAGTCTGTTATTTAATGCCTATTGTTTACATTAAAAAAGTCGGAATTTATTTTTATTTAAAAAAGTTTACTTTTGTACTTTAAACGATCCTACTTATATTATAAATATGAACCCATTTGGATGAAATTTGGTATATTTTATCTATGTATAAGTTTACTACCTAGATTGCTACATACTTTTTATCCCGGATAAACGTTAGATTCCTGGGAAACTCAAAATACTTACAAGATAAAATACTTAGGGGAGACCTAGGAGAGTTGTGACACCGACGATTTCTTCCAACCTATAATAATTAGCGAGATGGCAAAAACGCTCTTTTGTAGCTTTTGATACGTGCTATTTCACTCTTTCCCCGCCGGCACCGCGGCGACGCAACAGAAGCGGTTGCGTAATTACGACGTCTATGTACAAAAAACGCTAAAAGTAATTTTTTCTTCAAAATTTTAATTGAATTTATATCATGTCTTAACATATGTGCATTATTGTGTTATTTTTTTCTAAAGTTGTATGGTTATTAAGTCTCAAAACGTTGCACTGATCTTTTGTGTTTTCATCGTATTTAGAAAATATGAATTATTTTTCGGACAAAGTCGTGATTTTGAGCACCTAGGAGAATTGTGACAGGCTATCACAACTCTCCTAAATGCACAAAAACTAACGAGGAGTAGGCAATGCCTAGAATACAAAGGCTGGTCACACGCAGATTGTACTGGAGGCTAGCTGCAATACGTTTCTCAAAATTGCCTATTACATTTCATCAGATTTTTGACTGAATATATTCTTGAAGATCTCGAAGCCATGCTATAATTACTTAAAAGTTTAACATCGTTTTATGGCAATGTCATAGGTATTTTATTTATTTATTTAATTTAATTTGATATGGTAAAAGATGATAACATTACTTATGGTAAGAAAAGAAAAACATGTTTCATTATTTTTAATATGTCTGCTGTCACAACTTACCTCGGTGATAGGAGAGCTGTGACAGAGGGAGTAGTTTTACTTTTATGTTGATTTATGTAATACTTTAACTAATTCTGATAACTGATTTGAAAAGGGAAGGAATGGTGCTATATTAATTCACATAAGCCATAACTGTAAATTGTTCCGTGACTGAGATATTTCCCTAAAATTAAAAATTGTCACAAGTCTCCTAGGTCTCCCCTATAACGCGGATGAAGTCGCAAGTGATAACGACTACTGCTTTTAATTAGCAAGATACAGGAGTGCGGAAGGATTTTCGGTATGGAACAGGAACTAGAAGAGCAGTCAATCAGTGTACTTACAAACTTTTCAGAGAAACGACGATAAGATTTTGTATATTACAGCTACTAGTTTTTTTTTAATATTTATTTGACACTTTCAAACTATACGGCTTGATGACGTGCAGGGCTGAGGAGTGCCAGGCGATGCTTACCGTACTAAGCATGCTATGACTCATCACCATGAGAATTTCTAGCCTTACAGACAGACCGTTACTCGGAGGGTTCAGTAGCTCTCCTACTATATTGACTCATTATCTAATTTAAACAATAATTAGATTTTCTAATTTGTCAGTACAAGAGTTACTGACTGTTAAGTCAATAACTCTTGTACGTGTATAGAACATTGCTCAATAAAATTAATTTGTTCAACCAAGTTTTTGGCTGTTATATAAAAATAATATGATAGCGACTTAGCTATCCGTCTTTTATATTAATTAGAAAGATAATATTTATCTTTGGTCAAATACACTAACATAATTGTTAGTGTCAATAATATGAAAATTTTCACTTTTACACATTGCGAACAATAGTAGATATATTCAGTTCATATCATAAGATATTTTCCTCCTTTGGCTGACTTCTACAATAGGGCAACGTATGATTTTTTTTTAACATTTAAAGAGCTCAAGTCATTCAGATATTGAATCAATAGTTTTTTTTGTTTATATTGCCTCTATTTCTCACAAAAAATAACAATGTAGTGCATTTACTGTAATTTTGTTTGATTGCCTTTCCTAGAATATCCTTAGAAGAAACATTAGGCATACTGCCCTTGCTAATTTCATCACTAAATAATATGTATTTATTATCTAAAACTAAGTTTATGTATGACAATGCCCGACCTCATACAGGTTGGATTGTGAATGATTACTTTCAAGAGATGAACACTACTCGTATGGTGTGGCCAGCACGCAGCCCGGATATCAACCCGATCGAGCATGCTTGGGACGAGCTAGGGAGATGCGTAAAACAACGAAACCCAATTTACGCTTCCTGAGATCAAAATTGCTCTCACAGAGGAATGGGAGAATTTCCCCAAAATCGTTTAAGAAACTTGGTATAGAGCATGCTAAATAACTATACACGGATAAACGCAGTAATGGAAGCACGAGGATTCAATACGAAGTATTAAAATTCAAGAAAATCGTAATGTTGTTCAAAAATGTCATGTTTCCTATTTTTGTTTTACGGCGACATCAGCCAGTTTTTTTCTTTATATATTTTTTTTTAAATAAAATGTGATCTCATAAATTTTATTACTTTCATTTAAGGAGTATTTCACTGTCTTTTAAACACAATTTATTTCATTAAGCTAGCATTCTTAGTTTGCGAGATTTTTAGGATTCTTTATGTGACCCGGATTGATTGCTCTCAAGTGTATTAGGTGAGCGCATTTTAAGATCACGCCATGTATTTTTTATTAATTGACTAATGGTCACGTCATTTTGATATCAAAATAGCGGAACCACTTTTTTATTGTAAATTTTTAAAATTTTGTGTGTGTAGAATGTTTCCATGAAAGTATAAAATAGCAGAAATTCCGCATTAAATCCTAATCACGTTATATTCGAAAAACCTGACGGTGTCTCGACGTTCATGTACGTTTTTATTTATGGACGTGGAGACGGGCAAAAGTGTCACACGTTATGTGACGTCAGATGAAAGGTGGCAGTAAAAATTTTCAGATGTGGTGCGCGAAGATCATTCAAAGTAATATATTGAATTAATGAAATATTAAAAAAACTTGCTTAAAATCTATATTGTGACAAAATATATATCAAAACGGTATGTTTAACAATTTTAATTAATCTTTCCCCTACACAAAATAAAGGTACAGGGTGGCGCAAAAGTAATCACTATCGCAATCGGAAGATGTTTTTTGCGTTGTACTTTAATCGTATTTGATACTTGTGAAATACAAAGATGCAGGATACAAACAGATAAGCATTGGAGCACGATACTCCGTAGGAGCGTAAACATGTGTGGTTTCAACAAGACATTGCATTCGATTTTGAGAGAACCTAAAACATGCAAGGAATTGTGTGATCAACTCAATAAGGAATGGGATGACAATGCAAGGGAATTAATAGACGTTTTAAATAAGAATCAAAAGTTAAAGAGTGAAATGGCTAACCTATACAAATAGTATAGTGATGCCATTGGCGCTCAGGACAGACTGCAGTGCATCGTAGATGGCTTTGATCAGTAGGTACAGAAATGAGTATAAGCAATTTGCACCGATTCATATTTTAGAAAAACAATTACAAGATTGCAATCACACAATTTCACTCTTAGAAGCAGTAAAACTAAATATAACAGCCTCAAAATTCTAATCAATAAGGCTTACTATTCTGTTAACGAATATATTGACGAAAAAATAGGTAAGTAAATAAACATGACATTACAAAGGAAAATTGAACAATTACAAGAGTGTCTGTCAAATGTTTCAAAAAATATGAACTGTCACAAAAAAATAAGGGAACACACAAAGGCACTGAGTGAGTTGGTTGAATTATGTCATTACAACAAAGAGAGATTTCATTCCTTAACTAACAATCACACATGTGATTGTAAACAGTTAACAGCTTAGTC